GCTGGATATGATTTTTCTCTTGATGAGGTGCGTGACTGGCTTGATAGACAGGCTGTGTATCAGATACATAAGCCTCGGCCTAAATTTATTCAGTATGCTTCTTTTAATGATATACAAGATCTAAACGATATGCATCAATCTGATAGTACACCATTTTCTCATTGTAAAATAGGCAATCGAATTTATAAACATAGGCTTGTAATAAAAGATATAGCTACTAGGTTTCGTCATAGTTTTAGTTTATCTAATAAATCATCAGCACAAGTGGCCAAAGCGTTTCAGAAAATTTATGATGATCCAAATTGCCCTCTTATTTGGCCAAACGTTTTAATCATTGATAGAGGTACAGAATTTATGGGTGAGTGTAGGGATTTATTAATTAGGCATAGTGTTAAAATTCAGTATGCTAATTCTAAACGTAGTGTAGCTATTGCTGAGCGTGACCATCAAGAATTTGAAAAGCATGCTTATTTTCGGCAAGATGCTGTGGATTTTCATTACCTTTAACTGATAGATCCAGAGAATGGGTTAAGGGGCTTCGTATAAATGATGATATTTACAATAACACTCCTACTCAGTTAATAGGAATGTCTCCCAATGAAGCTGTAAAAAGAGCATTAAAAGGAAAAAAAATAATAGCTAGACCTTCGGTAAAACATAGGAGGCCCGTTGATTATAATGAACCTCTTTTACCTAGTTATACAGAAGTTCGTCACCTTTTAGAACCTGGTGAATTAGAAGGTGGGAGAAGAAGGGCAACTGATTGCAATTGGTCTCCCGAAGTCTTTACAATCGATTCTTATCTAATAAAAGAAAATCAACCAGTTCTCTATAAGCTTTATAATGGACCTAGACGTTCATTTGTGAGAGAAGAACTGCAAATCACCCCGTCAGATACAGATTTACCACCCAAATATATTCTCAAGCATTAGTCTTACCTCCTCTTTCCTCCACTTGGTATAGGATTTGTTCGAAAGCACTGCTTAAGTAATCATCTATTTCATTTCTATTATAAACTATAATCTGTGTATTTCTAAGCCAGTCAATTCGTGAATTCTTTTTTTCCTGTTTTTCATTCCCTGGTTTATCATCTATAAGAAATTTGGTAAGTGAACATAAAGCAAACTTGAATTGCCCACGCTTATCAAATTCTTTTTCAAGTATTTCCCTAAACTGTTTTCTTCGACTTTCTAACATTTTTCGTACATCACTTCCATTGTCTGGATGGGACTTAGGGACTTTTGTACGATGTACGGCTATGGCTCTTCTTTTAACTGCTGTTTCCAATTCTTCTTGTTCCCTAAATTCTAAATCCTTCTCTGACTCGTGTCCCTTAATTTCTCCTAAGTGCTCAAATTCTTTATTGATCAAATTCTTGCCTTTATAAGACGCTCCAGAGGAGCTAGATTTATTACCATCCCTAAATGATTGTGTTTTAGGTCCAGGACCGCTTTCAGACTCTAATATCTTTTCATATTTATCTAACTCTTTTAATGTAGGTAGGCGAACTGCCTCTGCATCAAACTGCTCAAGGTCATGAAAGAGCGTTTTACAACAATCTAGATCATTTGCCTCAATTGGTTTATCACCTAGATCTAATTCTTTCCAACGTTTTTGCAATCTTGCTCCCCATGTCTTAATTCGCTCTCTGGGTTTACGTGCATTTAGACTGATCCAGTTCTTTGCCTCCTCTTCTGTTATATAGTCAATACCAAGTACTGGAGCTTTCTTTTCGAGGTCTAGCTCTGAAACTGGAGTTGAAGTTACCACATGTGGCTTCTTCTTGTTGCTTATATTTACACTAGAGCTTATTGCCTGTGCTTTGATTTCAGAAGTTTGGATATCCTGTTGAGTAGCTTTTTGAATAGGCACCTGAATTGGCGCTTGAATAGAAGCTAGTTCCTTTTGATTTTGTAATGGTTTGCATGGATTTTTTCGCTTAATATGCTCACGAAGTTTTTGGAGTGTTGAGCATTCATATTCACAACGTTTACAGATTGTATCTTTTTTATCACTTCTTGTTTTTCTAACCATGGTGTTAGCTCTAACCGTCGCACTATTACTTGTTTATAAATTTTTTTCTTTAATTAATTATTTCCTATTCTTTCACTTTTCGATCATAGAGTTGACACCTAAGGCGGTATTTGCAGGCTTGCCTAAACGGTTCTAGCTATCTTTCTGAAACTGAAGCATTAACTATTGATTAATTATTCTTTCGATATTTAGTATTATAAAATAGGATGATCGGTGAATATTCCTGCCCATATCTTTGCAATACTGGAAAGGCTTGTGAAAATCCTTGCATTCGCCCTGAAGGATGTCGATTTTATTGGAAATCAAAAAAACGGATACCGTGTTCTGATTGTGGTAAGCCAACTGCTTCTACTTGTGGCCGATGCCCAGGTCATATTAGAGGCTATTATGTTATTCAGTTTTATGACAGGCTTCGTTCACGATTGGAGATGCAAGAAAGTAATGGATAGATTATTTCGGCTAGCACTTTATATTTTTTCGTTAAAGTTTTATGATTAATATGCTATTTAATAAGCTAGCTTGCGTAGAATCCATTCTTGACTAAGGGAAAGTTGGGACAATTTCGCGGATTTTGCATGAGTGGCATTTCGTTAGACTTTTATATAAAATATGCTTTTTAGTAAGCTAACCTGCATTGAACCCATTCTTGATTAAGGAAAAGTTGGGACAAAAACCTCGTTAGATTTATGATGATGGAATTGGGACCGTTAGACTTATTTTATTATTTTTCGTTAGACTTAAGAAAATTGTTAGATTTATTTATGAGGTAATAAGGACCGTTAGACTTATTTTATTATTTTTCGTTAGACTTAAGTAGTAAATATACAATTTAAAGAGCTAACTCGTGCAGAATCAATTCCTGATATAATATCGAAATTAAGATTCTAAAGCTATTAGAAGCTTTTCTAATATAATAAAAAATTCGATATGTTTTCTGAGATTAGAGAAGCCACACAGAATTAAGAAATGTAATATCGAAATTAAGATTCTAGAGCTGTTAGAAGTTTTTCTAATATAATAAAAAAAATCGATATGTTTTCTGAGGTTGGAAAAGCCACACAGAATTAAGAAATATAATATTGAAATTAAGATTCTAGAGCTGTTAGAAGCTTTTCTAATATAATAAAAAAATTCGATATTGTTTTTTAACATTCTGTGACCCACACACACAATATGTCAGTAGGGGGTCGGACATTTTGTCCTCAAACCCCCACTTTCACATTGTGTAAAAGTTTGAAAATATAGCAAAAATATATTCTTATTATTTAATAAATATTAAAAATAAGTTATTTTTTATGAAAAGTAATTCAATAAAATAAAATTAAAAGAAGTTATAAATATTTCTACTGTAGTAAAATTATAGTATTATATGAAATTATATTTGTAATTGATAAGTTATAACCTTTTAAAGATGAACAAGATAAAGATAATAATATTAATGATTTGATATTAAAAATAAAGTACTATTTTGATATTAGAAGAAATTGTTAATTTTATATAACATATTTTTTAATAATAATATAGAAATAATATAAATTAAAGAAAAGGCAAAAATATGAATTTAGATTTTATTTCTTTAGTTGATCAAATTTTGAAAACTATATAAATTCAGATAAAAGAAGAATAAAGATTTATTTTTTTCTTTTCTTAATTTTTTTTTATTTATAAATTTATTATTATATTTATTCATATTAATTATAACTAATATTTTTATATAAAGCTCTGAATGGTTCAGATTAATTTGAAAATTTTTCAGATCAGTTCAGATCAGTTTCAGATTGCATAAAAATCGATTTGAAAATTTTCAGTTTAGTTCAGATTTTTTTCAGATTATAATTCTAATCTGAACTGAAAAAATTTGAATTAAACTGATAATTTCAGATTAATCTGAAAGTTCAGTTTGATTATATGTGAAACTCTTGGAGAATCATAATTTTTTGCAAGTTCTCTTTGAATTTCACAAAAAAATTGCGAAAATCTTAAAGAATCGCAATTTTTTGCAATTTTTCTTAGAATTTCGCAAAATTATCATGAAACTCTTAGAGAGTCACAAAAAATTGTGATTTCTCTTTGAATTTTGCAAAAAAAATCGCAAAACTCTTGGAAAATCGCAATTTTTACAATTTCTCTTAGTATTCACAAAAAATATCGCAAAATTCTTAGAGAGTTGCAAAAAATTGTGATTCCTCTTCAGATTAATTTAAAAATTTTGATTCAGTTCAGATTTTTACCAGTTTGAGGTTCAGTTCAGATTCAGATTAGTATTTTTAAGATTAATAATCTGAACTGAACTGAACTAAAATTTTAGTTCAAATACAGATTGGCATCTAATCCAGACTGAACTGAACTATTTAGAGCTTTATTTTTATATAATCAATTACAATTTTCTAGTTAATATTAATATAATTATATTAAAATTTTATTAATATGATGGATTATTAACTAATAAGTGAAATAATTTGACAAGAGATTTTTTTATCTTAGGTAAAATAGATTTAATATTTTTCTTTCTAACTAACTGATCCATATAATTTTCTTATATTTATTTTCTGAAATAAAAAAAGTTTGAAAAAAAGTATTTTAAAAAGAAAATATATTTTACAAAATAAAAATTATATTTTAATTATAATTATGTATTATAAAAAAATTCTATATTAATAAAAAATATATAAATAAATTAATTTTATTACAATTTTCTTTAATATTCAATATCAAATTCAATCAAAAATGATTTTACAACTTCTTATCTAAGAAATTATATTTGTAATTTTTAACGGTTTTAATAAAAAAAATAAGTATACATTTAATTAATAATTATTTTAGCATAAAGTAAAAAGGATTAACTAAATAATTTTAATTTATTTGTAAGGATATTTTTTTTATTATTATATGAGTTAATTGTGAAGTCTACTGATTGAAAAATAGACTTTAATATGTATAGTAAGATTTTAGATATTTGAAGAATAATAATTGTCTGAATTGTAAGCGTAGGACTTTCAATGTACACTTGAAACTAGAGTTCCAGATGAGTCAAGTTAACTCACGAGTCAGATAAGCTGAATCGAGTTTAAATCGAGTTGAGTTTATATTTTTTTGACTCAATGATTTATGAGTCAAATCAAATTCGAGTTGAGTTAAATATTTAACTTGATTCGATTTAAACTCAACTCAAACTCGACTTGACTCGAGTTGACTTGAAATAATATTATTAATAAATTAATATTTTAAAACTATAAAAATTATACATTATAATA